TTCCTGACCGGCAAAAATAAGCACATAGATGTGAGCTCGGCTCGGCTCATTCAGCAACCCGCGGCGTGTCGTGCGAGGCGGTCGGCGGAGGAGGAGCGCGCGGGAGCCACTTCTCTTCTCAAGCTCCAATAGGATGTGAAAGAGAATCCCTTATAAGGAGGTACAACTCCTCTCCAACTAGCAACACGGGACTAAACTTCCCACCACATCCATTGCCAAATAAACCCACATGGGCCCTTGTAGATTTTTTTGAAGTTGTTAGATGGGCCCTAGGCCCACCCCAATATTTCAACAATCCCCCACCAAATCTCAAGGGCCCATTTTGTCTTTTGTCCCAAACACTGTTTTGATATACCGGTATTTCAGTGGAGACCTGTTGAGGTTGAACTCCACCTAGAGCAATTAGCTACACTCATTCACAACCGAACAATGGACTATGCCTTGAATTGTTAGTTTGCCGTAAAAAAGTTTCACCACATGTCTTACTAGTACTAGACTGCCGAAGGCTGACCCCTTGGGTGGAGCATATTAGTCACACTCCTGGCTTATTCATGAGTTTGCTAGAGATCACCCCAGCCTCATAGACTGTGACCAGCAGTCGGGATCATATAGGTGTGTTTCTCCAAAGATCACTTTGCAGGATAGCATCTTGCTTGCATACGCTTTGGAACACATTAAGACAATAGTCAACCTACCATGCAGTTTCTGAGAGTATTGCATCTTTACAGAGTGGGTTAGTAAAGTTACTCTCATCGGTTCACCACCGGCTTGTTTTTCTCAGGTCCTACTTCATGGGATCTCCAATTAATCACATAGGTTGGGTTACCGCCATGGCAACTCATGTGGTTCTCATCCCATCTCCCTTGATGCATTATCTATCACAACATGTGATAGCCCTTTAGTAAAGGGATCTGCCAGATTCTTAGGCGACTAGATATAATCCAACGCTATCGCTCCGGAGCTTCTTAAATTTATGACAGCTTTTAATCTCATTCTTATGTGTTTGTTAGACTTCATGTTGTCCTTTGAACTATTTACTTTGACAATAATGGTCTGGTTGTCACGGTTCATAAGGATAGTCAGAACTGGCTTCTCAACCAATGGCAAGTCCATCAAAATATCTCGAACCATTCTGCTTCGACACCAGACGTGTCTAATGTTGTTTAGTTTTGCTTCCATTGTTGATCTCGTTAAGATCGTTTGCTTGCAACACTTCCAGGAATAGCACCACCTCCAAGAGTAAACATATACCCAGATGTGGCATTCGTCTCATCAGCATCAGATATCCAATTTGCATCACTATACCCTTCAAGTACCAACGGGTATTCGGTATAGTGAAGTCCATAGTTCATAGTACCTTTCAGATAGCGCATAATTCTTCCAATAGCATGCCGATGAACATCACCCAGTTTGGAAACAAACTGGCTTAGTTTGCTCACAGCAAACGCGATGTCATGCCTCATTGCGTTCGCAAGATACATGAGTGAACCAATAATTTGAGAGTATCTCAATTGATCTTTAGTTGTGCCTTCAAACTTTCGAATCAGCACACTAGGGTTATATGGTGTTTGAGCGTGATTATAGCAGTCTTAATATCCAAAACGACTCAAAATCTTCTCAACGTAATGGGATTGCAGAAGTGGTATGTATGGTTCGCTGTGATTCTCTCACAATGATCCAAGATGATCAAATATGGCAATATGGTATGCAATGTGGTGATGCTATGGCTACTACTTACAAGCTCTTTGTTTTCTCTTTGCTTAAAAACGTTTCTCTCTTTTGATATTTTCCTTTGGCCAATTATGCAAAATGTTCTAAACAAGATAGCAATTATGTCTATGCGGGAACAATGATAACACAAGAGATTATATGATGATATATGCACGCTATGATAGTTATGCGGGATGTGTATCACTAAAGTGCACAAGTAACATTGCCCGACAATACTCAAATGGCTAGTCTCGGTAGGGGAAGTGAGCAAAATTGGGCTCGGGGTTCGCAATGCAATGGCAAGGGGATGTGCAAGTGATGTTGTCGAGGTTACCGTCCTTGCTTACGGTTGGTGGTGTCAAAATGGTGAAGTGGTCGTTGTTGATGTCGAGTCCGTGGCGATGATGAGTGTTAGTCGGGTTGATGTCGAACCGTTCCTAGTTAGCCGAAACACCCTAGGAAACGGAAAATCGCAACTCAAAATCTCAATGGCAAATGTCAAATGGTGGTAGCGGAAAGCGGTGGTATGGCTATGTATATCAAGGGGTTTGCGGAAGTGGTATGGTGGGGCTCGAAGTTGGCGGTACGAAATCATGGCGGTGGCTGAAACTTTTTGGGAGAAAAATTAGTTTCGTCAGGGGTAGCCGGGTGATCCAGGTTGGGGTCCGGCTGATCCGGGCTATGTCCGGATGATCCGGGACGTTGTCCGGATGATGCGACCAGGTCAATCTGCTCGGCTATGGGGCCGGGAAGAACTCCAAATCGTGGATAGAAAGCAAAATTGGGGCGATTTCGGGGTGGATTTCGTGGAGATGGTGGGGAATGCTAGATCCACTTGCAACACAATGAATCCACAGATCAAATTCAACAAAACACCATCAAACCAACAAATCACAAAAAAATTGGTATGGCTCTTTTTGTGGGGAATTTTGAAATTGGACAAAAACACACAAAATTAGGCTAGCAAGTGGGGGTAGGTACTCCAAATTCGTGATCAACGTGGCTCATGATACCAATATGATGTTCCCTAATGGCCGATCTTTCACGAATTGGAGGGGATCCCGCGAAGAACATGAAGAACATGAGAGGGAAAACACTCAATCAACAAGATCCAAATCACACATGTGCTAAATCCACATACACAAAGAGGAGATACATGGATCCAAATCCAACACAAGATGATACAAAGGTCGCTAGTTCATCCCAATCCTAGAAAGGGTCTTGAATCCACTTGGGGATCTTCTCACATGGAGGCCTCGATCTCCATGGGAGAGGTAGGTGGATGAGCAAAGATCTATCTCTATCTTGAGCTACTCCTTTCCTAACCCTAAAATGTAGGTGGAGGAGGAGTATATATAGTCTAGGGATAGATAGAGGTACATAGGCCTCGGCCCAATTCATGCATGCACGCAAGGTCCGGATGATCCGGATGGCGGTCCGGATGATCCGGGTCCTCATACGGATCGTCCGACTGTGTCGGCGTGGCCGCTGCTGGCCCGAATGTTCAGGACTTGGTCCGGACATCCAGCTGGGTCCGGATGATCTAGTTGAAGGCCCAAATGATTCGGCTTCGTTGAGGAGGCTGTTGTTGTTTCGGGCACTTCGGCAAGATCGTCCAAGTGGGGGTCCGAATCGTCCGAGACTTCATCCAGATCATCCGGGTAGCCGCTGACTTGCCTCCTTTGCTCTCCGTCTTCGTGTTCACTTTCCTCCCTCGTTCGGACTTGCTCCTTAGCTTCTCCGTGGCTGGTTCCTTGGTACCTGAGTATGAAAAGTTTCTTCGTTTGAGGTAGTAGCCATGTCTCATGTGATTCGAAAGGGAGTTGTGAGAGGAGAGATGCCACCTTGGTCTCAAGAGCTCTTGCACGTGCTCGTGTCATCGATCCACTTGGCACTTAGGACGAAGGTAGGTTTATGGGGATGACCATGGGATGGTCCGCATCACTTAACCTTCTTCTTAAAATCGGTGTTGGACAGAATTCTTTCTCTTGGGCTTGTGGGAATTGAAGTTCCTTGGATGCACCATATAGGCGACAAAAGTTTCTTTGCCCTCAAATTCTGCTAACACTCAGATGGCTGATGACATTACCTATAGAAATAACTCCAACCAAAGTGCGATGGGCTAGCAAGTGAGAGTAGGTAGGTATGTACTTGGAGGTGCGGTCCAGTCGCCGCCCGCAATGATGCAACATTTCATTTCACCGGCCGTTTACAAAAGTGGCCACCGGAAGATTTGCTACGCCGTACGACGTTGTCCCGATTTCTCCCGGTTATTTTGACAGGAAATTAAGTAGACACTCATTAACAAGTCGTTGGTACTTTTGGTTAGCACACCAAGTCCTTAGCACGTAATACTAGCTGTTGACTTGTTGCTAGGGATGGGAAAAAACTAGACGACCAACCTTTTTTTTCGGAGTTGGAATGGACGACCAACTATTGGGCTGAGAAGGATCCCTGGTAAAAAAGGTTCGCCTCAAAACTAAGCTAAGCTAAGATCTTTAGCTTGTTAATTACTAGGGGTGTAGAAAGAAGAGCTTCCTAACACCACATACATGTGAATCAGTCCATCAGTCGCGATTGCTATGTTTAACATGACCAACCCCGGCATCTAAATGTACCATTGATTATTCAACAATGCCATGCAAAGCCAAGCATCGATGCCAAACAAATCTTCTTGCAAAATATAAATGAAGAAACACGCGGGGTCATTCAGAAAAGGTCTACCTCGCGATAGTATCTCCAAAAACCCTATGACATATGACCGGCCTACGAATAAGTATGCTACTCCTATCGACGGTGTCGTCCGGACGCTCCGCGTGTCCTCCGGTCCTTTACGACAAGCTTAACGGCCAATGGAGCGGTCGGCCAAGGCAAGCCAAGCGTGTGCGGGAGAAAAGCAGCGTGGTCGTGTGAGGTAGAAGAAAGACTGCCTGCTTTGCTTAACGGCCAATGGAGCGGTCGGGAGGGAGGGGCCGGGGAAGGGGAACAAGGAAGGCTGCCTGCTTTGCTTGGGCTGCCTTTTTCACGTTGCACGCTACCATTTCGCAACGTGACACGGACACTACCCCGCCCACCAACGAATAAAACTGACGCTCACTGCTCCACCTCCACCCCGCCATTGCCCGCACCTCTGCCCTCCTCCTCCTAATGGCCCCCCGTCGCTCCCGTTAAGCCGTCTTACCTTCCTACTGCAAGAGAAGCAGATCACTCGGAGCTCTTCTTCCTCCTCTTGCTGCTGCTGTGGCGCGGCGATGAGGTGAGTGAACACAGCTCGTGCGTGTGGGGGATCCATGCCCACGCAGCAGCTCACGACATTCCAGCTGCTCCCGCCCGCCCACGCGCACGGCGACCGCCGACAGCACCACCACCAGCAGCTCGCCTGCGGCGGCGGCCTCTGGGACCCCGCGTCGGTGCTCGACCGCCGGGCCAGCCCCGCCGCGCATCCCACGCTGTCTTCCCCCTCGCCCCTGCCCGCCGGCGTGGCGGCCCTCGCCAAGAACGTCTCCGCGGCCCCGCCGGCGCAGGCGCAGGCATGGCCGCCGCCGCCGCCGGGCCCCGGGGCCAACGACGACGACGCCAAGGACGACTGGGTCCACCACCTCCCGCCCCTCGACATGGCCGGCTGGGGCGACCCCCACGCCGCCGCCATGCAGGAGCCTCACCCGCCGCCCTCCTCGCAGGACAGCACCTTCCTCCGCTGGATCATCGGCGGCGGGGACGACGACGACGACGACTCCGGGGCCGCCATGGACGGCACTGACCCCCCGGATCTTGACCTCGACCGCATCACCATGCTCCCCCGCCACCCGCCGCCGCTCATGGGGGGCGCGGGCCACGGCCTCCCGTTCACGCTCGCCGGCGAGGACACCAAGCAGCCCTTCCGCGCCTCGCCGGGCGCCGCCCTGCATCAGCAGCAGCACCACCTGCCGCACGCGTTCCACGGCGGCGCGTTCCCTTCCTTCGACCCGGCGGCGCCGGCCAAGCGGCAGCAGCAGCAGCACCCGATGGCCGGCGCGGCGCCGCCCAAGCTGCCCCCCTTCGCCGGCCACGGCGCTGCGGCCGCCCTCAAGCCCAAGGCGGAGGCGCCGGTCGACGACGGCGCGGCCGCGGCGGCGGTGGACCAGCTCACCGAGGCGGCCAGGCTCGTCGAGGCCGGCGACGCCTACGGCGCGCGCGAGATATTGGCACGGCTCAATCACCGGCTCCCCGCCGCCCCCGCGGCCGGGACGCCACTGCTCCGCTCCGCCTTCTACTTCAAGGAGGCTCTGAGCGTTGCCCTGGACACCACCGGCGCCCACGCCTCCTCGGCGGCCGTGGCGTCCACGCCCGTCGACGTCCTCCTCAAGCTCGGCGCCTACAAGGCCTTCTCCGAGCTCTCCCCGGTGCTCCAGTTCGCGCACTTCACCTGCGTGCAGGCCGTGCTCGACGAGCTCGGCGGCGCCGGCTGCATCCACGTGCTCGACTTCGACATCGGCGTCGGCGAGCAGTGGGCGTCGCTGATGCAGGAGCTGGCGCAGCGCCGCCCCGGCGCCGCGCTCAAGGTGACCGCATTGGTGCTGCCGTCGACGCACCACCCGCTCGAGCTGCAGCTCATCCACGAGAACCTCGCCAACTTCGCCGCCGAGCTCGGGGTCCCCTTCCAGTTCGTCGTGTTCAACCTCGACTCCGTGGACCCCACGGAGCTCCTCGCCATTGCCGGCGGCGACGCGATCGCGGTCCACCTTCCCGTCGGCTCAGTTCACGCCGCCGCGGTGCCGTCGGTCCTTCACCTGGTGAGGCGGCTGGGCGCCAAGCTTGTCATCTCGGTCGACCGCAGTGGTGACCGCGGCGAGCTGCCGTTCGCGGCGCACCTGCTCCAGGCATTCCAGTCGTGCGCGTTCCTGCTCGAGTCCCTGGACGCCGTGGGCACCGAACCGGATGTGGCGAGCAAGATCGAGCGCTTCCTGATCCAGCCAAAGATCGAGAGCTGCGTGATGAGGAGGCACCAGGCCGCGGCCGCCGGCGACAAGCTGCTGCCATGGCGGACAATGTTCACCTCGGCCGGGTTCGTGCCGGTGCACATAAGCAACTTCGCCGAGGCGCAGGCCGACTCGCTCCTGAAGAAGGTGCCGGTGAGGGGCTTCCGCGTGGAGAAGCGCGCCGGATCGCTGGCCCTGCATTGGCAGCGCGCGGAGCTGGTGTCGGTGTCGGCGTGGAGATGCTGAAGGAGCTGCCATGATGAACGCAAGTCGGTAGGTTAGTTAGGACTAATGATCCTAACAAATATTTCTGCTGCGACGATCAAATTACTCGTTAAGCATTTCGCCGCCACCTTGATGGATCTTCTGCTGATCATGTCACTTGTTTTGAGTAGATTGTTTGGCAGGCTGCAAGGTCTGGTACGGTATCAATGTATTTTAGTACTCATGTTACTATTTTCATGTGGAATCAATATGGTTATGGTGTTTGAAATCTTCCATCAAAGCCGCTATTCGCCCATTTATCTTGCTATATAGTATATTGGTTCTCTGTTAACTAGCCTACAAAAACGTCTTACATTTTGAGACGGAGGTAGAACTATATAATAAAGCTCCAAAAATATAACACTCATAACCTTGCATCCTTCATCAGTTCAAATAAGAAAAATGTAGAGGATTATGGTCGCCATTATTGATTGTCGATAATCTTCATGTTCTCGAAATGCTTGCGTATACTTCTGTGAAAGGAGGCATTAGAGTAAAAGAAAATTTGCGAGGAAATAATAACATTCAGCTCTCTTGGTGGTGGTCGACTGGGAAAACAATATGCATTGAGTCAAAAAGATCAAAACATTCAAATCTTCCAGGATCCGCCAAATTGACATCTAATATGATCAAATTTTCTTGAACTTGAATCAAAGAGTTTTTGAAAAAGGTTACAAGTAATTTAGAAGTTGTCTCTACATACAGGCAGATTATAAATGATTTGTGTATTCCACTACTTGTCCATTTTTTTTTTTTTTGCTTTTATTCGCATGGGACTATTTTCCCATTGAGTTACAAGCTAGCAGCTACATGTACTCTTTGTCTTTAATCCCATATTTGCTCTGTTCGACTAACTGTAGCTCATTGTATTATCAATGAAGGTATTTTCTGTAAGTAAATTTATGCTAGGCATCATACATGGTCAGAAGCTTTGGTTTTGCAGTGTGTCATTTTCTCTGAAAGTTCTGAAATTGTTACGAACACTGGCTTTCAGACAAACTTTGTCTTTGGTCCGAATCAATGAAGATCTTGATTTAACACTTTTGTACATTTCAGTTAAAAGAAATCGATGGTACATATGCGGTATAAATCTAGAAAACTTTCTCAGACAAATTACTGCCGGCCGGTTGTATCTTTAATTATTGGTTAACTTTTTATCTAGTCCAACTTCCATGATATCAACAAAACAAATTGTTATATTTATTCATAAAACTAGACAAGAAGATGCTAATGCATGAGTGGTGAGGTGAGGTACAGTGAAAACAAAATAGAATATCATAATTTTAGATCTCCGTAATCCGATGCCTTGAGAAAGCTCTCTCCTTCAGGAACCTCCAGACACCTGGAAAGTAGAATTGCATGAGAAATGCATGTTTAAGAACAATAATCGCCTTTTTGATATTGTACTTGGAGGAACATTTACAACTTGACAATTGTGGAATGCAGCAAGACTGGGAATAAAGTGGGCATGGATGTTAGTGGCACAACATAAAGCAGCAGACATATTTTTGTTTGTTTGTTTGTGAGATTTTGGTTTGCATTGTATGATCTCCAAAGTTGGCTGAGCAAAGGATCTTTCACGAGTGTTGATGGTTTCATCTACACAATTTGATATCCATTGCTTGATTAGATTTGCGTGGTATACCTCGTATGCATATGCTGTCATTCTTATTCTGAAGTCTCAGCTTAGCAATTGGGTATATGTTACTCATTTCATACTTGAAGTTGCAGGTTGCAGCATCTTGACATTGTTAATTCAGGTACCGCCGATTTCTCGGCTGCTTCCTTCTCTCAGGTGAAAATAAATAACATAGAAATCTGTCTACCCATTTAATACTTGCAGCATCTTAACATTGTTAACTGCTAACCCTAATGCCAGCAATTTCCTTGTTGCTTCCTTCTGTCAGATGAAAAGGGAAACAAACCATCAGTCTTGTAGGCATCTTGTTCAAATGTAATCACAAGCATATTAGTAATGAGGACTGACCCCTAATTGTCAATGTATAGTTGATAATTACCTTGCCATGGTCTGAAGTTCTGGGTATGTACTTGGGCAGATATGAACCGCGCATGTATCATCCATGCTCAAATAATGAATGGTTCATTACTCATCATATTTATCTATCTATTCCTCAGGGATGGAGAAATAACAAGTCCCGTCTGCGGATCTTCTTTGGAGCAGATAAGTGAGCCCCTACCGTTGTTTGCGCAACAGCGCGGGTGATCGGCAGACATTAGTTGCTTATCAAGATGGAATTTCTCGCTGCAACATGAACCGAATCGTGTGTTTTGTTCTGATGGCAATCGCAGCGTAAAGCTGGCGTGCTTTACCTCAATGGCACCAAGCATCTCCTGTCATCAGCACCTGTACTGCTAATTTCAGTCCCAAATTCGTCCACGTTGGGACAATGTTGTGAGGGTACAGTCCAATATGCTTATGCTGCTGCCGCCCCCCTGATGCTATCTGCAGGACTGATTGAATACACGGATAAGGTTATAGCTGTCCCTAAGGTGCTGAATTCTCTCATTCAGGCTTTGTCTTATTGTCAGATTCGTGCAATTTTGACTCGGCAGCCAAGAAGAAGAGCAGTCGACGCCTCACCGGATAAGAGGAGGTGAAATGTGGAGTTGTTCTGTTCAAGATGTCACCCAAAATGAGGATGAAAAACCATTGCTCAGGCATCCATCAACATTGCAGTTCTGCAACCATTACAAAAACAGCCTAACCAGTAACCCCATGGTTAGGCTGCTCTAAACCAATCCATCGGTTGCAAAGACTAAGACATGCTTTATTTATTCCCAATGCGATGCACCCATCTCCTGCCATTATTAAAAACCCATAGGCGCGAATTTTTGTTCGGCGCACGGGCGAAGCGGTTAAAGCGCCATGAGTGAATGAATCACCAAGATCACAAAGTATAACCAAGCCATTTTTATGCTGCAACAGGACCTGAAAGCTCAAGACCCAGGGAATCGGATCCTGAAAGCCTCACCTACACAAGGAGTGAGCACTGAACAGAGCGGTAGCATCAAGCTTGTGGGCACCAACACAAGGAGTGCCGCCCCTGGAAAGAGCTAAAGACCAGCACCTTTCTGAGAGAGAGGCTAAACTAAAGGAAAAATCTAAAGAGGAGGGTGTGTCATGGTGAAGCCTCCTCGGAGAGTGGGATTCGGTTCAGACTGTGAGACTTTTCTTCCTCCTCCTTTCTCTAATATAATATAGTGTTCTTTTATGTTCAAGAGTTATGAAGTTCATGGACACACACATTTGTATATTACCTAACAAAAAGACACTTTCATCGCAATGTTGGCAACATAAGTTTGAAATTTTGCAGGATTTTCACAGGAAAGAGTTGAGGTCTCAACATGAAGGGGTCTCTGGTTTCGAAGAAGGGGAAGCGGAAGGGAAGGATGCCAGCGAGATATTTGAATGTGTGGAAATGTATTTTTCTCCAGTCTTAAGATGGTAGTAGTAGATAGAGAAGACTTTGTTAGGTCTTCATGTTTCGGCATTTGAATTCGAACAAACGAAATGTTCGAGGACCGAAAGTAGGAGAACCGAAAGACTCACCTATGCCTGGAGTCAACTGCAGATTCACATTAACTAGGGTTAAGCTGCACATGTGTGAGTATGCGCCGCAAGTCTAGCAAGAGTCATGCCTACTTGCTGCTTGACACATGCATGTCCATTATTGATTCCATCGTAACCCTGAAGCTGAACAGTTACAACACAGATAGACAGACAGACAGACAGCACTCGTATTAGTCTTTCAGTCTTGTACACAAGAGCAGAAAAGTAGATGTGCATGCATGCATGTAATCTGCTGCTTGGTAGGAGACTTGTGGAAGACTCACTCACTTACCAGGACAAAGGAAGTTGTTCAGTTGGTCTGAATTGCCAGGTGGCACTTGAGATAGAATCTTGGCTCCTGCTGCTTACTCCGCTGACAAAAAAAGAATAACTTGGATGCATGCATGCACGCGTACTTGAAAAGAAATAGAGTTTAATTTTGGAAATGTTAAAAATCTGACATCAAATTCTTAAGCATGACATGCTTGTTGAAGGAAATTGTCATGCTCATGACAACTTAATTGCCATGCTTAAAAGTCTGACATGAGATTTGTAGCGAATTCCTTTAGTTAAGAACTTAAGATGGGTTGATTAGGTTGAATATACCTGGGAAAAAAAAGAAGTTGGTTAAGCGACGTCGAAAACCAGAACCTTCCCTAACTGTCGCTCATAATTTCATGCCAGGAAACAAGAATAAAAGTATAATTTTGAGATCGCCTGTCAGATCATTACCCACATATACTAGTTTTTTTTACAGGGTTAAAAAATATGACCAGCAAGTGCAAGTGCAATGTACAAGGGAATAATCACAGATATTGTCCTCCTGGAGTGTGTTAGATGATTGTGTAAAACACCGCGCGACACCGGTTAAACAAACAAAACTCTTTTTGGCACCGCAACTCAACTCAATCAATAAAGCAAAGCAAAGCAAGGCATGCGGGAAGGAATATATCCTCCCTCTGGAGGAGAGGAGAGGAGAGGAGAGGAGAGGAGAGGAGAGGAGGGGAGAGGAGGACGGCCGCTAATGCGTCTACACCAGTCTGTCTTCCGTGAGGCATCTAGCAAATGGAAAAAGGGCCGCCGGCGCAATGAAAGGAAGAGGAGATGGAGATGAGATGCTCCTCTAATAACTTCGAGGGCAAGGCTCCTCCTCCATGGTCTCTTAAGAGTTCACCATATATGTGTCATGTGTTGTGGCCATCGAATCTTCGGCTGAAAATATACTTTACACGATGGGCAAAGTGAAGAACACAAGCAATATATAATGATGATGTATAGTAAAGGAATGTAATAATGTGCCTGGAATGTTTATCTTGTTGGTCGATGATGGGCCAGATTTGCTGAGAGAGAGAGATAGAGAGGCCACATCTGGACAATGGGGAGAATGCGCGTCAACGGCTGGTCGCCGAGG